TGAGGCAACTCTGTCAAATAATGCCTTTCTTTCTAATCATGGACCTGAACATACCTCTTCTATCACCTGCCTTCACCATGTGGCCACATGTGTACCAGTCCACTCCCCCACTATCGACTTAGTCCACAACAATAGACCAACTAATCAAGGAGAAGAACCAGACCCTAGTATACCTCAAAGAGTCCAACGCAGACCTAGAAAACATCCTGGAAAAATTAGGAGTCCCAAAAAAAATAGTACTCCTCATGCAAGAATCCCAGATGGTCAAGTACAAAGAGCCGTTCGGAGAAATGCTTATTGCTCTCTGCCCCAGAAAGCTAACAAGTTGCAAACTAAATCTCCAAGTTCCCTCATCTCTAAACTTAGGGAACTCGGCAGTAGCCCTAAGCCTTGTGCTGGGAAGAGTGAAAGCGACCCCTGTGGGAAAGGGGAAGGGCCTCAAGAGGAAAGCCCTATCTCAAAACCCTTTACTGATGAACTTCATAATATGGAATGCGAGTGGAGCCAACAGTGCTGAATTTCGCAGACACTGTGCCTCCATGGTCAAGCTGCACAACCCTGCTGTCCTTGTTCTCCTTGAGACAAGAATAACCGACCATATGTATTTGACTATTGAGCTCTAGTTCATAGCTCAATTCCAATCCCCTGCCATTGGGCAATCTGGGGAAATTGCTTTCATGTGGAAGGATGACCTAGTGAAGCTCGAAGTGGTTTGTACCACACCTCAGGGTATGCATGTCATGGTGAAGGTAACCCCTGATGACTCTAAATGGATTTTCTCTGCTATTTATGCTAGTAGTCACCTTCATGATAGAATTAGATTATGGCAGTCCCTTGAGGACATGACTCAGTTTATAAAGGTACCTGGATTGTAGGAGGTCACTTCAATGAAGTCCTAAAAGCCAGGGACAAATTTGGGGCAACAACATTAATAATAGTAGAAGCAATTATTTTTGGAGCTATTTGAACTAATGTAGACTAGTTGACCTAGGTTTCAAGGGCTCATAATACACTTAGTCTAATAAAAGATACACTAACAGGCGAGACCTTATCCTAGAGAGGCTGGATAGGTGCTTTGCCACTGATGACTGGATTGAGTCATACCCGAAATCTATAGTTACCTACCTCTCTAGGACCCAGTCTGACCACTGTCCACTACTCCTCAACATCACTAGTCAACAATACAGTGATTATAGAAGGGCCTTTAGATTCGAGTTTATGTGGTGTTGTCACCCTGATTTCCCCTCCATTGTTCAAAATAGCTTCCACTCCACAAATATTTTTTTGGGTGACACCAACACTTTTAAGGCTAATGTGACCACTTGGAATAGGCATGTCTTTGGAAATATCTTCCATAAAAAGAAGCACATTTTAGCTAGGCTTAATGGCATCCAAAATTCTAATGCCCATCCTTTCAGCACCTACCTCCAAGACTTGGAATCAAACCTCCAAGCTGAGTTCTTAGCTATCCTTAAGAATGAGGAGGATTTTTTTGAAGCTCAAATCTAGAATTAACTAGATGTGTGAAGGAGATGCCAACACTAGGTTCTTCCATACAACTACCATTAACAGAAGAAGGAGAAATAGGATTCTTAGCTTAATAGATGAGTTAGAAAATCAGATCAAAGACCCCAACCTCATCAAAGAAACCACAAGAGGCTACTTTGCAGACCTCTTTACCACATCCCATAATGCATCTGCCTTCAAAAGCTACTGCAGTGATGACCCCCATCTAGTCCTTACAGATAAAATGAGGGTATCCCTTGATCAATCCCTTAGGCACTCTGAAATCAAGAAAGCCATAGACTGTTTCAAGCCCTTTAAGGCTCCTAGGCCTGATGGACTGCATCCTTTCTTCTACCAAAAATACTGGAACATCCTATCTACCCAAGTCAGCAACTTTTGTCAGAAGGTATTCACCACCTCAACCATGCCCCCAGAAGTCAATAGGACCCTCCTGTACTTGATCCCTAAATGCCAAAATACTGCTATGCTTAAGAGCTTTAGACTAATTGGACTGTATAACACTATGTACAAAATTTTCATTAAGATTATAGTGAATAGGATAAAGCCCTTACTCCATACCATAATTGGGCCATCACAGGACAGTTTCCTATCTAACAGAAGGGTTGCTGATACCATAATTGTTCAGGAATACATCACTCACTTCCAAAAGATGAAAGGAAAAATGCTAACATGGTCCTTAAGATAGACTTAGAGAAAGCCTTTGACAGACTTGAGTGGTCTTACATCAGGGACTCCCTAATGTTCTTCAAATTCCCACCTAAATTGATCAATCTGATCCTCTCATGTATCTCCACTAGTTCCATATCCATCTTGGTCAATGAGAGCCAAATTGAGCCCTTCAATCCTACTAGAGGAATCAAGCAGGGTGACCCCATCTCCCCATACCAATTCATTATTTGCATGGAAAGACTCTCAAGGAATATTGACCAGGAAGTTCTGAGAAATGACCGGTTTCCAATCACCATCAACTGGGATGGCCCAAAAATTTCCCACATTTTCTTTACTAATGATGTCACACTCTTTGGTAGAGCCAATAAGAAGAATTGTGATGCTATCCTGGCAAGCTTAGATGAGTTTAACACTGTATCAGGCCAAAATGTTAACTTCCTAAAATCCAAGGTCATCTTTTTAACCAATTGCAAAGAGGATTGGGCTTATAGTTGTAGCCTAATGCTAGGAATTAGGAAAAATAGTGATTTTAGCAAGTATCTAGGCTTCTCCATTTTTCATAAAAGGCCTACCAATAGGGATTTTCCATTCATCATTGATAGTATAGATACTAGGTTGGCTGGCTGAAAAACTAAAATGTTAAACATGGCTGGCCGTACAACACTGACTTGACCATTAAGATTAGCTCCATCCTCAGCGATATAGAATGGAACTTTGATGCTGTTCACTACCCCATCCCCAAGGACATTAAGAGTGTTATTCAATCCACCTTCATCCCTGTTTCTAGCAACTCCGATGATAAGCTTATTTGGAACCTCAATGGAAATGGGCGTTTCAGCTCCAAATCAGCCTATAACCTAATCAGTTCTGAGCTAAACCCCAGTATCAACCATGAAGACCCATTTGGCTGGACTTGAAAGCTAAAGGTCCCTAATAAAATAAAAAATTTTACTTTGATAATGCAGCATAATAGACTTCCCATTACCAAGCACTTAAACAACATAGGCTTAAAGGTAAGCCCTATATGTCATTTCTGCTCCTATAGAGTGGAAGACATAAACTACATCTTCTTTGAATGTGCCAATGCTAGAGAATTATGGCTGTCCCTAACCCTGGAGTGTACAAACAAGACATACTATCCATACCTTGTGTTTTAATGGTTCACTGGGAGGAAACATGGCACACGGTCAGGAACATGCAATTCAATGATGCTATCAACTGGAAATCCCTTCTTCCTTTCTGTTTTTGGAGCCTATGGCTCACAAGAAACAATAATCTTTTTGAGAAGAAAAAAACTTTACCCTTGTTAAATAAACCATTGCCATAGCCACTGGATACCATCATGTAGCTGTCCACCACAGGGATAAAGGAGAAATCACTGCAATCCATATTAAATGGGAGCCACCACCTAATGGCTCCTATAAGCTAAACACTGATGGGGCTGCTTTCCCGAAATCAAGAGTAGAAGGGGATGGGGGTACCTTTAGGAATAGCAGGGGTGACTGGGTGCTAGGATACACATAAGACTTACCACATACCATAAGTTTAGAGGCTGAACTCCAAGCACTATGGCAGAGCCTCAAAATAGCCCTTAAACACAATTTCACACCTCTACAAATCTGCACTGATTCTGAACAAGTTGTAAGGATGCTAAATGAGAAAAATCTATATTATAACTCTATTATCTTTGAATGCAGGTCATTAATGGAGAAACTGGGAACCCAACACTAGGACATAATTTTCGAGAGCTAAATCAGGTGGCAGACCTCCTCGCAAAAGAAGGAGCAGCAATGAAGTTGTTTGATAGGACAAAACTTGGTCTCGCAAAAGAAGGAGCAGCAATGAAGTTGTTTGATAGGACAAAACTTGGTCTCGCAAAAGAAGGAGCAGCAATGAAGTTGTTTGATAGGACAAAACTTGGTCTCGCAAAAGAAGGAGCAGCAATGAAGTTGTTTGATAGGACAAAACTTTTGACAGTTCCTACGGTGTTTGTAAGGAAGACCCTATGGACAGATATCCTAGGAACTGTTTTGTACGTAAAACTAGGAGAATTCTTTTGTAATGCAAGACAATGATAATACAACTTTCGAGAGCAGTAGCTCTCAAATAATGATGTAACTATTTTTGTTATATTTATATAATTATCTAGTTTATCAAAAAAAAAACTTATCTAGACCACTATAGAATCCCCTCATATTAAGTCTTCTTCTCCACGTACAATCATCCTTCATCATACACATTTTCAGAAAACCATAAAACCAAAAATTAGTCACAATGCATCCCCAATCTCTTGCTCACCACAATCATTGGAACATGCACTACTAGAAAAATACAAATTTCCCATAGATATATTATCATTGGTAGTTCCCACTAAAAGTTTAAAAAACTTAGTGGGAAATGGAGGAGTTTTCTTTTACTTTTTTTTTAAAACATTTTCATAGACTATAGGTGAGATTTATTTGGTGCAAAAAAGCGCGTAAATCTTTTCCCACCGAATCAGTGGGCAATGCCATTAAAAGAATTACGATACAAAATTATTAAACCCTTCCCAGTGAAACGGTGGGAATCTAAAAGAAAAGATTAAAAATTATTTTAATATTTCCCACAGATGCAGTGAGAAGCTCAAAATTTTAAATTTTTATTTTTGGTTCAAAAAATCCACGAGTATTAAAAAAAATTTCATCAAAAAAATAAATTTAATAAGACAATTTTCACAAATATACCGAGTGAATCAGTGGGCAATGTCTTTCCTATTACATTAGGCGTACACCCCTTATTATTTTCTTCTCTTTTTCACTCTCATTCTTCTCTTTCTCTCTCATTCTCTTCTTTGCAAATCCTCCATTCTTGTCTAGGGAGCTTTCGCTCAGGCAAAATCACAGGTAAGTAACGTCTTTTCCCCTTTCTCTCTCCCTCTCCCTTTCCTCTCTCACTTTTCCGATTTTACTCTAAATGCCTGAAAACCTAGGGTTCCTTCATGCCTGAAAACCTAGCTTTGTGTGTGTGTGTATTTGTGTGTGTAGTTGGGATCTTGGATCCTGAGTTCATAGACCCAGTTAAATTTATCTTCTCCTTTTACCTTAATTTTATAGTATTATTATTATATTTTGAACTCGATTTAGCTTTATGAAGCCTGAAAGATTTCATCTTTTTTCTTACCTGCTGATCATTACGAATTTGTTAAGTTGCCTTTTCTTTTTTGTAATGAAATTTATTGATTGCAATTTATTTTTCTCTCTCTTTGTGTTTTGCCCGGATAAGGAGGGCAACAAGTGCCACTTCTCTATTGGGTATTAATTAGATTAGCTTGCGGCGTATTATACTAATTTCATCCAGGTAAAATATGATAAGCCTATTCCGAACTTCCCAGATAAATTGGCTAAGGAATAGAAAGGGTTTTTTTATTATTCAATATTTGTGATGATAAGTAGGATTTTACCATGTTTATGTCAAGATAATGATGTACATTGGAGGAAGAAGATTGCTAATGTTTTCTAAAAGGAACACAGAGAGAACGTACTAAAAGAGCCACAATGATTCTTCCACACATTAGAGTAGACATATCACATTTATTATGTTTTGGAATATTCATGTATTTTTCACACGTATTCATCCAAATCTTCACATATAACTAGTGAAGTTTAGAATATCCCTAAGCCACTGTCTAGCTTCAAACGCTATTAGCGGTTTCGTGCATTACTCTTTTTGGGTTGAGTTCAATCCTTTTTTGGATTTTAATCTTTTTATCTAGAGTAAGTCAAGACTAAGGTTTGCACTGAAAATTTGAAATGTCTTCTCATTGAGATGCTTCCCATTTTTCATCAATGTCAATCTTGCTGTTCAAACTGTGAAATCTTCTCTTAGGATTCTTTAATTTGAGCAGAGAGCTTATCTTATACCACTTGTAAAAAGGATTGTCCCTTTGGACAAATTTTCCTAGTAATAAGATCATTCAATTTCCATTAAGTGTTACTAGGGAGAGTTCGAGTAGCACTCATGTCTTTGCATATTCTTAAGTTGATCTTTATAACGTTATGTGATCTAGTTCTCTTCTATTATCGTATTTTCTGTTGTTATTATTTAGTACTATAATTCTAATTAATTTAGTATTCTCTGATCATTGCTTTAGCTTTTTTACATCTCTTTTTTACTAGCATGATTTTAAGTATAATTGTCATCTCTTTTGCTCATTTTGAAAATTAGACCAGGAAGTGAAGATACAAAAAGCATGAAAGAAGACAAAATCAAGTTATAAGCCTTGAGGTAACTTCGTTTGCTAATCTCTAAGTTGGTTTCAGTTTTTAAATGTAAGTTAAGTTCTTAAATTGGTAGAACAACTACATGAATTCATATTGCTTTTACCTTGATAAAAAACCTTTATTGTGAATATTATAGCTATCTTCCAAAAGATTTTATCAAAAGAACATATAGATTTATGATAGACGACAAGAAAGATATAATGGACTAAAGAAATATAATAGAAGGAAACTGGATTGAAAGAAATATATGTCCTTTGTATATAAGATATGGAAAGGAGAAAACGTGAAAGTTGCAAAGCTCTACAACATCATCAAAAGACTATTAAGCTTAAGAAACGGAGCAAGACATGTCCATGTCACTTAGATACATTCAAGTTTAAATTTATTTGTGGATGATAACCAATGTGTTAGAATCTTGGTTTGACTTTTTAAACTGATTTCAAGAACTTAATCAGAGCATTTCTATGGAAAAAACTTTTCATTCATAGTAATTTGATCTATAACCATAGCTTTTTCTTGACTTAGAAAAAGATGAATAAAAGTGAGTTCTTTAAGGTATACTATTCAAAATTAATTGTAAACTAAGTGAGTTCTTTAAGGTATACTATTCAAGATTAATTATAAACTAGCTTGAAAAAAATAAATTGTTCTAAGTCTATTCATTTTTTTTTGTGTTTATGTTATTTGTGCACTAGATGGAACGTGAACATCGTGGATGAATATACGATAGGAATCATCCTAATTGTTGTGGATTGAAGGAAGAATTTATTGAAGGTGTTCAAGGATTTATTGCTCATGCAAAAATACTCCCTAAATTTCGTAATGAAGGAACACTTAGGTGTTCTTGTGTGGAATGCAAGTGTATAAAGTTGTTTGAAACCGAAAAATGTTAAAGTTCATCTTTATAGCAAGGGGTTTAGAAAATATTATTATGCGTGGACTGTTCACGGAGAGAACTATTGTAGTGTTGGTGATGTTCATTTTTAAAATCTAGTTGACAGTAAGAGTAGTACACAAATGGAGAATAATGTTAAAAATTCTCGATTACATAAAAAGGTATCAGATGCTTTTGGTATTTACCCAAGGGTTCAATCCCAACAAAATGTTGTTGATCCTCCTAATGATGGGGCAAAGCGCTTCTATGAATCACTAGAGTCGGCTAGTCATCCACTATATGAAGGCTCAATGCACTCTGAGTTGTTTGTTACAGTTAGATTACTAACTATTAAATCAGATTGGAATATTTTTCAAGCGGGCATGAAGGCTATAATTGGACTTATGAGTGGCGTTAGTCCGAGCATTAAATTACCCAATAATTACTATAATGCAATAAAATTGATTTTCAAGTTAGGACTTTCCTCAACAAAACTTGATTGTTGTGAAAATGGTTGTATGTTATATTATAAAGATGATGCGGCTCTAAAAGTGTGCAAATTTCATGGGCTGTCTCATTTTAAGGAAGTCACAAATGCCAAAGGTAAGAAGTTGCAGTTAAGAAGATGCATTACTTACCAATTATACCTAGGTTAAAGAGGATATATGCATCGATGAGTTTTGTTCCTCATATGAGATGACACTATAAAAATACAAGGCCGCTTGGTGTTTTGTGTCATCCTTCAGATGGAGAAGCATGAAAGCATTTTGATAGGATGTTTCCAGATTTCGCTAATGAACCAAGAAATGTTAGGTTGGGTTTGTGTGTAGATGGATTCACTCCATTTTTTGTGTCTGCTGTACCATATTCATGTTGGCTTGTCTTTGTTACGTCATATAATCTTCCACCTGGGATGTGTATGACAAGTCTATATTTGTTCTTAACTTGCATAGTTCCGGGTCCAAGTAATCAAAAAAGTTCAATTGATGTATATTTTCAGCCGTTGATTGATGATCTAAAATTATTGTGGCATGAAGGTGTTAAAACATACGACATATCAACTAAGCAAAACTTTAGATTGTGTGCTGCTTTGATGTGGACTATTAATGATTTTTCTACCTATGAAATGTAGTCTGGGTGGTCGACTGCTGAAAAGTTAGCTTGCCCCTACTATATGAAAGATACAAATACATTCACTTTGAGACATGGAGGTAAAAACACATAATTTGACTGTCACCGACGGTTCTTGCCAATAGATCATGAGTTTAGGAGAAATACTAGTGCATTTATGAAGAATCAAACAGATTATGATGAACCATCGTCAACTTTGTCAAGTGAGGAAATTTGGGAGAGGGTTAAAGATATACCTAAGGTAATGGAGTCTCTATCGGCTAGAATACCCGGTTATGGCGTTGAGCATAATTGGACTAAACAAAATATATTTTGGGAGTTACTTTATTGGAAGCATAATCTTCTTAGACATAATTAGGATGTTATGCATACTGAGAAAAATTATTTTGATAACCTATTTAATACTATAATGGATGACAAGAACAAGACAAAAGATAACTTGAAGGCTATGATGGATTTACAAGAATACTGCAGGCAAAGAGAATTAGAACTAAAAGAAGTAAATAACATGATGGTGAAGCCTAAGGCTAGTTATACATACACTTTGGATGATAAACGAAAGATATGTGACTGGGTCAGGAATTTGAAGATGCCCGATGGGTACGTGTCAAACTTATCCAGGTGTGTTGGCATGAAAGAAGGAAATTTGATGTATATGAAAAGCCACGATTGTCACATTTTCTTGGAATCATTAATTCCTATTGCATTTAGTTCATTGTCTGAGAGAATATGAAAATCCATCACAGAGATAAGCTTGTTTTTCAAAATACAATCATCCTTCACCATACACATTTTCAGAATCATCCTTTACCATACACATTTTCAGAAAACCATAGAACCAAAAATTAGTCACAATGCATCACCAATCTCCTGCTCATCACAATCGTTAGAACATGAACGGCGGTTGTTACTACCAACAAGAAATACAATACAAAGCATCTTCTGACCTCTAAAGTAACATACATCCATGCTCCATCGAGAACATATTATGTTTAGAGTAGAACCTATGTATTATAGTGAGGGGTCACCGGACCCCATAAGTTTCGACAAAAATTCTGTATATGTATATGTATTTTATATATATATNCGCACTAGTTGAGCAGAATATTGTGCCCCGTCATGTAAAAATCTTGGTTACGCCTCTGATAAGTTCATGAAACTTTCTTCACAATGGAGGTGATGGTCACACTGTAAGGGAACTACTACTACTACTACTACTTTCTACAGCAGTATCCGATATCATTCGCCTACCCCAACAAGTAGCGACAACACTACTACCCCTAGGTTCACACAACTCAAGCACCACAGGTGCCGCCTCTGGTCTGAAATCCGAATTTACTGAATTAACATGCATATCTGCTACTGAAAAACTCTTACCACCTCTTTCATTTGATGAACCAGGGGCTATACTTGTTGGGAAAAATAATAATCCCGCCCATAAATAATATCCACGAATAATAATAATAACACAAGAGAGTAACAACAACACTAACTTTTTTAACGAGGTAAATACAATACCCTAGCGGAGCAATATTACCACTTTAATATTATAATTTAGTAGTGTCAAGAGACTACAATAATTTTAAAAGAAATAATATTATTTATTTAAAATACCTAACTACAATATTACTGTCACTCACTATTTATCTCACATACTACAATCTGTGGATTACTCTCTGTGACTTCTATTGCTTCTCTTTGTTTTGGTGTGTTTTCAAATGAGGAGAAACTCCTCTATTTATAGCAAGAAATGCTTAGCCTAATAGTGGATATGATGTCATGATAAATGTCATAAAAATTTGGTCCACAAATTTGTTATAGCGGATATGTTGTCATGGAAAATATCATGAAAACTTGGTCCACAAATTTATTACAGTGGATATGTTGTCATGAAAAATGTCATAAAAATTTGGTCCACAAATTTTTTATAGAAGCCAAATTAATGGCCATATTACACATGGGATGAACCCATCAAATCTCTCCCTTATTATTTATTTTTCTTCTTCATTCCAAGTCTTGATCTTAATCTCTGAAAATCTTCAAGTTTGAGAGGTTTTGTAAACATGTCCGCAACTTGATCATGAGACTTCACATATTTGAGTTCTACCTCCTTCTTGGCAATGCATTCTCTGATGAGGTAATACCTTGTATCTATATGCTTACTTCGATCATGATATACCGGATTCTTGAAAAGTGCCTGTGAAGATTTGTTGTCAATACAAATCTCTGTAGCTTCAATTTGTGATAAATTGAGCTCCTTCAATAATCTTCTCAGCTAAATAGCATGACATGTACAAGATGTTGCTCTATATATTCAGCTTCACAAGTCGAGAGAGTAACAATGGATTATTTCTTTAAACTCCAAGAAATAACAGAATCACCCAAAAAAATACAAAACTAGTTGTGCTTTTTCTATCATCAATATCTTCCGTGTAATCACTATCACAAAATCCCATAAGCTTGAAATCACTACAAGAAGAATAAAATAACCCAAAGTCAATCGTACCTTTTAGGTAACGAAGAATTCTTCTAGTGACTTTCAAATGAGTGGAGGTAGGAGCTTCCATGAAGCGGCTTACTACTCCAACTGCAAAGAGTATATCTGGCCTGGTACAAGTCAATTACCTCAAACTTCCCACAAGATTTTTAAAAAATGTGGGATCCACTTTTTCTCCTTCATCAAACTTGGATAATTTTGTCCCACTTTCCATCAGTGTGTTCACGGGGTTGCAATTAAGCATGTTGAACTTCTTAAATATATCTTTTGTATAGCTTTCTTGAGATATAAAAATTTCATCCTCTATCTGCTTCACTTCTAGGCCCAGGTAGTATGACATGAGTCCTACATTTGTCATCTTGAACTTACAGGATATATCTTTCTTAAAAGCTTCAAACAACTTGGGTTATTACCCGTGAAAATAAGATCATCAACATAAACACAAACAAGTATTATATCTCTATTAGTATGAACTTTAAGGTAAAGAGCATATTCATGGAGACAACGAGTAAACCCATTGTCTTGAAAATACTTGTCGATGCAACTATTCCATGCTCGTGGGGCTTGCTATAATCCATATAAAGCTTTCTTCAACCGCAACACTTTATCTTCATGGTTTTTGACCACGAAGCCCAATGGTTGTTCAACATAGACTTCTTCTTCAAGATAGCCTTTCAAGAAGGCTGACTTGATGTCTAGTTGATGGATCTTCCACTTCATTTGCGCCACCAAAGAGATCATAAAACGAATCATCTCCATGTGGGCAACAAGTGCATAGACATCTTCATAGTCAATGCCTTGCCTTCGCTTGTAGCCTTTAGCCACAAGTCGTGCCTTGTATCTCTCCACATCTCTATCAGCATTCTTCTTTGTCTTGTATACCCATTTTACTCCAATTGTGCGATGACCCTTGGGAAGAGTTGTTAATTCCCAAGTGTTGTTCTTCTCTATTGACTCGATCTCCTCCTACATGGCTTATCTCCACCTTTTGTCTATAACAGCTTCATTCAAGTTCATTGGTTCACTATCAGCAAAGAGACAATATAAAAAATCAAAATTAGTAATTTCTTCCGTGCCATCTGTAATAACCCGGCCGGTCGGTTCGAGAGTTATAGTCTCGATCCCCTATTTACTACTTCTTACATACTTATTTCTACTATTGTGACTTGCCGGGAGGGTTCGTTTTGATTTTGGAGTATTTTGGGACACTTAGTCCCTAAATGGAGGTTTAATCCTTAGGATTTGGACCGTAGTCAGAACTGTCTGAAGAAAACTCTGAAATGGAGTTCCGTCGGTTCCGTTAGCTCCGTTAGGTGATTTTGGATTTAGGAACATGTCCGAATAGTGTTTTGGAGGTCTGTAGCTCATTTAGGCTTGAAATGGCGAAAGTTGAAGTTTTGGAGATTTTGAGCGGTAGTGGACTTTTTGATATCGGGGTCGGATCCTAATTCCGGAAGTTGGAG